AAGCCTGTGCGGAGAGGGGGGCCCAAGGGGGGGGGGGGGGCAGGGGAACTGGGGCTCAGGCTCAGGGCGGGGGGGGGCCAAGGGGGGTGAGACGCCGCGAGCCACGGCGAAAATGCAGGGTTCCGCGGCCCAGGGGGGCAGCCTTGGGAAACCTGGACGGAGGGGGGCCCCAAGGGGGGGTGGCCCAGGGGAGCTGGGGCTCAGGCTCGGGGGGAGGGGGGGGCGAGGGGGGCGAACCACCACGAGCCGCGACGAAAAGAAATGGTTCCGCGTTCCGGGGGGGGCTGCCCTGGGAAGCCTGGACGGAGAGGGGGCCCCCAAGGGGGGGGGGGGGGGGGGGGGGGGGTGGGGGCGGAGTGCGCAGGGGACCAACCACCACGAGCCACGACCAACATAGAGGGTTCCGCGGCCCAGGGGGGCTGCCCTGGGAACCTGGACGGAGAGGGGGGCCCAAGGGGGGGCCCAGGTGAGATGGGGCCCAGGCTCAGGAGGCGGGGGGGGGGGGGGCGATGGGGGCGAGCCACCGCGAACCACGACGAAAAGAAAGGGTTCTGCGGCCCAGGGGGGCTGCCCTGGGAAGCCTGGACGGAGGGCGGGTCCCAAGGGGGGTGGCCCAGGTGAGATGGGGCTCAGGCTCAGGGGGAGGGGGGGGGGGGGGGGGGGGGGGGGGGGCGAGGGGGGCGAGTCACCGCGAGCCACGACGAAAATCAAGGGTTCTGCGGCCCAGGGGGGCCGCCCTCGGAAGCTTGGACGGAGGGGTGGTCCCAGGGGGGGGCAGGAGAGCTGGAGCTCAGGCTCAGGAGGAGGGGGGGGGGCCGGGACGAGCCACCACGAGCCACGACAACAAAAAAAAATGTTCCGCGGCCCAGGGGGGCTGCCCTGGGAAACTTGTACGGAGAGGGGGTCCCAAGGGGGAGTGGCCCAGGTGAGCTGGGGCTCAGGCTCAGGGGGTGGTGCGAGAGGGAAGAGCACCACGAACCACGACGAAAATAGAGGATTCAGCGGCCCAGGGGGGCCGCCCTGGGAAACCTGGACGGAGGGGGGTCCCAAGGGTGGGTGGCCCAGGGGAGCTGGGGCTCAGGCTCAGAAGGGGGAGGGGGGGGGGGCGAGGGGGACGAGCCACCACGAACCACGACGAAAAGAAAGGGTTCCGCAGCCCAGGGGGCTGCCCTGGGAAACCCGGGCGGAGGGCGGGTCCCAACGGGGGGGGGTCCAGATGAGCTGGGAAGCCTGGGCGGAGGAAGGCTCCCAAGGGTGGGTGGCTGAGGGGAGCTGGGGCTCAGGCTCAGGGAGGGGGGGGCGAGGAGGGCGAACCACCGCGAGCCACGACGAAAATAGAGGGTTCTGTGGCCCAGGGGGCTGCACTGGGAAGCCTGGGCGGAGGGGGGGTCCCAAGGGGGGGGCCCAAGGGAGCTGGGAAGCTTGGGCAGAGGAAGGCTCCCAAGGGTGGGTGGCTCAGGGGAGCTGGGGCTCAGGCTCAGGGGGGGGCGAGGGGGGCGAACCACCACGAGCCACGACGAAAATATAGGGTTCCGCGGCCCAGGGGGCTGCCCTAGGGAGCCTGGACGGGGGGGGGGGTCCCAAGGGGGGGTGGTCCACGGGAGCCGGGACGCCTGGGCTGAGCAAGGCTCCCAAGGGTGGGGGGGACAGGGGAACCGGGGCTCAGGCTCAGGGCGGGGGGTGCCGAGGGTGATTAACCACCAGGAGCCACTACGAAAATAAAGGGTTCCGCGGCCCAGGGGGGCTGGCCTGGGAAGCCTGGACGGAGGGGGGTCCCAAGGGGGGGGGGGGCCCAGGGGAGTTGGGGCTCAGGCTCAGGGGGGGAGGGGCCGAGGGGGACGAACCACCACGAACCACGACGAAAAGAAATGGTTCCGCGGCCCAGGAGGGCTGCCCTGGAAAGCCTGGGCGGAGAGGGGGTCCCAAGGGGGGGGTGGCCCAGGGGAGCTGGGAAGCCTGGACGGAGGACGGCTCCCAGGGGGCGGTGGCCCAGGGGAGCTGGGGCTTAGGCTCAGGGGGGGGGGTCGAGGGGGACGAACCACCACGAACCACGACGAAAATAAAGATGTCCGAGCTCTAGAGCACAGCTGTGCAAGATAATAATGCCTGCATAGGCTCCCTTCGAATATACATTTACCCTATACGACCACCGTTCGGGTGATAAGAACGTTACTGGGGGGGAGAGGGGGGGGGAACCAACACCTGACTCAATCGATCTCACGATCGATCTCACTCAACGGGACTCCACGGGACAACACGGGACACTTGTCGATTTCATTATCGATCTCACTCAACGGGACACCACGGGACACCGCGGGACACCTCTCGATCTCATTGTCGGTCTCCCTATCGATCTCACTCAACGGGACACCATAGGACACCTCGGGACACCTCGGGACACCACATCGATCTCATGATCGATCTCACTATCGATATCACTCAACGGGGCCACGGGACATTTGTCGATCTCAGTATCGATCTCACTATCGATCTCACTCAACAGGACACCACGGGACACCTCGGGGCACCACATCGATCTCAGTATCGATCTCTTTATCGATCTCACTCAACGGGACACCACGGGACACCTCGGGGCACCACATCGATCTCACTATCGATCTCACTATCGATCTCACTCAACGGGACACCACGGGACACCTGTCGATCTCACTATCGATCTCACTTTTTGGGACACCACGGGACACCTCGGGGCACCACATCGATCTCACTATCGATATCACTGCCGATCTCACTCAACGTGACACCACGGGACACCGCCGAGCCACCAACGGACGGACGGACGGACGGGGGAGAATCATATGTCTTGACTTCGCCCGAGCAAGGGCGGACACCACGGGACACCGCGGGACACCGCGAGCCACCAACGGACGGATGGGGGAGACTCATTTGCCTTGACTTCGCCCTAGCAACGGCGGACACCACGAGATACCACGGGACACCGCGGGTCACCGCGAGCCATCGCCGGACGGACGGACGGACGGGGGACAATCATATGTCTTGACTTCGCCCTAGCAACGGCTGGTTCATTCCTCTCGCGCGCCCACGCAGCTTCGCCTTGCCCGCACGCACGACACGAACGAAACAAAACGATTTCCCGTTTGGGGGTCTCCGTTCCGTTGCGATCGCACCCCCCAACCTCCGATTGAGGGAGAGGCTCGTAGAGACTCCAATTTTTCCTGCAACCACGCGGTCGCCTGGGAGAGATCGGAGAGGCCCTCCAGATTACCGATCACAGTCGTCACCGTCCTCTTGCCCATTGTCGGGTCCTAGTTCGCTCTTTTCTTCATGATCGTGTGCTAGCCATCCTGCTTCATGTACTCGTCATAATTGCGCATCGCGGTCCCGACAACTTCAGTTGGAAGGGGCGGTTTCTTTGACAGCTCCTCGTATAGGGTCTCCAGCTTGTCCACGCGGGCCTCGGTACTGATGATGCTCGTCTCGACGTCCGCAAGCCCGTTTCATATCGTCTCGCCGAGAGTCGTGAACTCGAGTTTCAGCTTACCAAAGTCCTCCCGCAAGCGCTCCACCACTGACGTTACGGGGGCCAACTGCTGCTTCAAAAAAGCCGCGATGCCAGACATCGTCACTGGCTCCGTCAACGGCTCCCCCTCCGTGCCATTCGGTAGAGCGGCTTCTGTAGCGGCGTCGGCATTCAAGAAGTCTGGCTGCCGAAAGGGGTTCACAAGCCGTTCATCCTTCGATTCGTCGTCCGAGAACAGGTCATCGGCCATCTCATACAGGGGGCTCCTGAGGCGCGCCCGCTTGTCGGCGGGAGTGGCAAGCGGCACAACTTCGACCAGCGCTGCCTCACAGGACGAATTGCCAAGTACTCCACGCACTGGAGTGCCCGGCTGTCGAGTGTTCGTCGGCATGGACTGTTCGAGAGACAATCGAGTACAACCCGAAAGGGCTGTCAATAAACATCCGACGTGAGCCAACACAGGTACAAGGAGCTCTAAATCTAAAGGGCAAGTGGGATCTCCGAGGGTCTTGCATCCGTGCCTTGCATCCTTGCTATGGGCTCGCCTGCCTGCTTGCGCTGCTTCTTGCTCCTGCACATGCCGGGCGGACCCCGCGGCTCCTGCGCTGCGCGGCTCAGCCCAGAGCTCCGACGCTGCGCATGCTCAGGAGGGGAAAGAACACAGACACAATGAATCGTCGGGAATATATAGGAGGTGGGGGGGAAGACGAAAACCCAGGTAATTTGGGAACGCATGGGGAATCTTGTTATTTGTGTCCATTTATTTGTGTGTCCCTGGGCCCCTTCCTATGTCGGATTCGACGAAGCGATCAGCGACCGATGATCAGTCCACGACCCCAGGGCCCATTGATCGATCCGATTCGATATCGATTCCGGCCAGCCGATCCGAATCGATTCCGATATTCCCGCGATCCGATACGGCCCGATGTCTGCACGACGCAGTTGTGCATCCTGGCGCAGCCGATTCGATTCGATCTCGATTCCGTGCTGATGCAGCCCGCTCCGATGCACATGCCGACTCGATCTCATCTACCCATTAGACGCCGACTGATCGTGCAACCTTTCAGTACGGCCTATGCGGCCATGCTCATTCTGTGTCGTGTTCACCTGCCTGGTCTTCTGTGCGTTGCGCACGCTTCGCCGCGATGCCGGCCTCTACGAGTATTCCGACGGTCTTCGGTCGAGTTCGCAAGCCGGATCCGACCACGACCTGTGACGGCCCAGCGGCTCGAGACTGCGCACAGACGCCCGTCGTTGCAGAATGGCAACTCGCGGATCTCGGGGTCGGCGGCGAGGTTTTCTTGTGGGGAGGGGGGAAGGGCCGGAGGGGCGGGCCTTCTCAGAGGGCGGCAGGGCCCGTCAGATCTCGGCAGGCCAGAGGCCTGCCGAGCCTGCTGAGCAGGCCTGCCCCCTCTGGCCTCCCCCCCCGCCGCCGACGGGGAGGGGTGGCCGCCGAGCGGCCCGCCGGACGGCCTGCCGAAGGCCGCCGACCGCCCAGGACTGCGGCTGGCGCAGCGGCGCGCCGGGGCAGTGCTGGAGGAGCTGGTGCGGCTGCCGCAGAGCCTGAAGGCGCCGAGGGGGCGAGGGCCGTTCGAGGTCGTCGTCGTGGTCGGTGTCGTGGCCGTGGCCGTGGTCGTGGCCGTGGTCGTGGTCGTGGTCGTGGTCGTGGTCGTGGCCGTCGTGGTGGGCGTCGTGATCGTCTTGGTCGTCGTCGTTCGAGGGCACGGGCTGTTGAGAGCGCTGCGTATGTTGCGCTGGCCAGCCCCAGACCCCCTCGCGTCGACAGAAAATCACGACGGACGCTGTTTCGTCGTTTTCGGCCTACAACCAGCCTACGGAGGCATACGGAGGCCCTCGCCAGGCCCCACCGCCGTCGAAAAACAATTCGGAATGAAACGCCTTCCAGGGACTAGGTACTAGGTCGAGACTTTGGGGGTCGACGATTTGATACATCACGACGTACCCTGCGTGCATGCATTTTGATCTTGTCGATCCGATTCGATGTCGAGTTTGGTTTGTTCGATCCTATCCGATGTTCGATGTATTGGCCCCAGGCTGGTGATCTGATGCGGTCCGATGTTTGCGCGGCTTAGGTGTGCATCATGGCGCGACCGATTCGGTTCGATTCCGATTCCGTGCCGACGCATCCCGATCCGACGCGCATTCCGATCCGATTCGGCTTCCCGGTCCGGTGTTCGCTGATCCTGCTCTGCGAGAGATCACGACGTGCCCCGCCTGCCTGCACGGTGCTGCCCCGGGAGCCTTTAGGGGCGGCCGTTGCCCGCCCGCGTGCATCAGTTCTGGCAGGCCCGATCCCTCGGCGACCAGCTGCGAACCCCACGTGCTCCTGCGGACCCAAACGACGCGGGGGTGCCCAGACCCCCTCGCGTCGTGAACAGCGAAACATACGACGGACAGTCGTTTCATCGTTTCCGGCCTCCTGGGGCCTCGCCGGGCTCCAGGACCGTCAAACAGATATTCGAGATAAAAAGCCAGTCACGGCATTCTGAGTGTTGCTGCAGAGCCCCTCGGCCATAGCGTAAATGCATGGATTTAACCGTGATGACACCAATTTGTTACGGCCACAGCCTTCCACAACAGGCGTCCAAATGCTTGCCACAAGGCGTGAAGCTTTCGTACCGCCAGCGATGCGATGCGATGCGATGCGATGCGATGCGGTTGGCGGGACCCGCCCCAGATGACGGAAAGCGCGCGTAGCGTCGCGATCTGTCAGTCGGGAGAAATATCAGGGGGGGATAAGCAGCACGGGCCACAGACCTAATACCCCCAAGTTTCGGCAATTTTCGGTCCAAGACGGCCCAAGTCAGCCCCAAGAGCGCCTAAGAGGCCCCAAGATGGCCCAAGACAGCCCCAAAAGCGCCCAAGATACCTCCAAGACGGCGTCGGAGAGGTCCAAGAGGGCCCGAAGACGGCTCAAGAGCGCTCCAAGAGGTCCCAATATGGCTTCAAGACAGCCCACGAGACCCCCAAGATGCACCCAAAGGGAACCCCCAAGAGGCAAACATCGGCCCATTCCCTTGGGAAAACGTGCATTTTTTAGCAGATCCGTTTCTTTGGTCAGAACAGCGTCCACAATGGTCCAGGAGGCCCCCGAGACCGCCCCAAGATGGCCTCAGAGGCCCTCAAGACGGCCCAAGTGGGCGTCAAGACGGCCAAAGAGAGCCCCATGAGAGGCCCCTGAGGGTCCCAAAAGGTTCCTCAGAGAGCCCCAAGAGGGCCACAGGAGGTCCAGGAGGGCCCCCAGAGGGCCGCAATACGGTCCAAGCCCGCCCAGACGGCCCAAGAGGGTCCAGGGACGGTCCAAAATAGCCCCAAAAGAAGGACCCCCAGGAAGGCCCGGGAATGCAATATTCATTGATTTTCGCAAGGTTAGTTGCAAGATTTTTGTATGTCGCACCGAAGCACAAAATAAGCACGCTTTCCGTCCCCATGCCAAGCAGGTCAAATCGCCCAAACTTCGGCCATTGTCAGCCCAATATAGCCCAAGTCGGTCCTCAGAACGCACAAGAGGCCCCCAAGACGGCCCAAGAGGCCTCTAAGGCGGCCTAACATACCTCCAGGACGGCCTCAGGGAGGCCCGAGAGGACCCCAAGACGGCCCAAGAACGGCCAGAGAAGCCTTGAAGACTTTCCAAGAGGCTTCCTCAAGGACTCCCCAGATGGAAAAAATCGTTCCATCTCTTTCTGGAAACGTACATTTTTAAAACATGTACTTCTTTGGTCAGAACAGCGTCCAAGACGGCGGCCCAAGAGAGGCCCCCAAGACCGCCCCAAAACGGCTCAAGAGGTCCCCTATGAGGGCCCCAAGACGGCCCAAGTGGGCTCCAAGATGGCCCAAGATAGTCCCAAGAAGCCGAACAGAGGCCTCCGTAGCCATTTTGCCTCAAGGCCCCACAGAGGCCGCCGAGCCGCCCGGCCGGCCCGCGCTCCTATAGGTGGGGGCAGCTGCCCCGGCCCGCGTCGGCCAGTGGCCGCGAGATGGCCGCCCGCCGCGTGGCGCCGGGGGACGGCGAGGCCAAGGGCAGGCCGGCGGCGCGGGGCTGGTGCGACATGGTCACGGGCGTGCTGGAGTGGTTCGAGCTCTAGCAGGTCGCCACCACGCCGGTGGCATTGGAGGTCATCAAGCCGAAGCAGCACTTCTCCGCGTCCAACGAGCTCAGCGTGCTCACGCTCATCGTCTGCTGGACTATCACGCTGTTTTACGACCACCGCCAGGTCGTGGACCACCCCGCCCGGATGGCAGTTGGCCACTACAACCCGTGCTTCGGCTGGGATTTCCCGCCCGCCTCGTACATCGCCGTGTACGCGGGGCTCGAGTCGATGCGCACCCGCCTGCTCGACATGGACGGGCATACATCTTGGGCCGAGCACTTCGCTATTGTTACCACGTGGCTGCACGGGGCGGCGTCCGTGCTCTGGCTGTTGCTCTGGTCGGTCGGCCCGCACGACGGCAGATGGGAGGAGCACCTTGTCATCTTCACGGTCTGCGTGCTGTGCCGCTACTTGTGCACGCTGGGCAACTACGTGGAGAGCGCCTTCGGCACGCCCCTTCAACGCGCGCGGGTCAAGCGTAAGCACACCGCCCACGGGGTCGTCTACGGTTTGGTCACGGCAACGTTGCCCATGCTTTATTTCACCGACGTCGTCGTCTACAAGTCTGAGGCGCGCACCGGCTTCGACCCGTTCCTCCCGTGGCAGGTGCTCCAGGTGATGGACGCCGCATGGACACTGCCTTCGCCATCCCCGAGCCGCCCATCCAAATCACGCGCAGGATCGTAGAGCTCGACAAGGGGGCCGAGGCCGATGAGAAGGGCATGATCGCAGGAGCGGATGCTCCGTAATGTTCGACCAGGCGACCGAGCTAGCCGAAAAGGACCTGATTGCAGGAGCGGACTGGCAGAGTTCGGCATGGCGACCGAATTCAACAATAGTGGGCGGGATTCATCGCTGACGCCTCTCAGCGCGAGTATCCCCGGATCCATCATCTATGGCGCGCATTGGGCGCATCGGGACGCGGACAGTTACCCGCCCCCCCCTGCTCAGATTCAGTCTCAGTCCGAGCGCGAGGGCCGCAGGCTTGCATACGATGCGCGCGCGTGTCCGCGCTCGCGCCGGCCCGCGAGGCCGCCCGCGGCGACGCCAGCAGACTGGCTCTTTTTTTTCTTTTAAGCCCTGCCGAGCGGCGGGCTCTGCGCAGCGAGGGCTGCACTCAAGTGGCACTGCTGCCGTCCGGCGCAGCCTGGGCCGACGTCCCGCCTAATGGTTGGGCTACGCCAGTCCCAGGCGCGCCCGCCCGTAGTGCTTCGTTGCGCTGGCTTGGGGCTGTCCATACGGCGCCGCGGTGGACGTCGGTCGACGCTAGGTGGCGGCCCCTCTGACTCGAGTCTATCGTTCTCATTCCACAGTGTGGACGTAGCACGGCCTTACTGCGCTGGCCACATCGCGGCAAAGGTGGCGCGGAGGACGCCAGGCATCCTCGGTGGCTTCGTCGCCGTCACGCTCGGCCGTCGCTGTCTTGTTTCACCCAGGCCGTGCATGCTGTGCTGACCCCCGTTAAGCCACCTCTGGACTGCTCTAGACTATCCCCTCGCCGTGGGGGCAAGGGGTCCTGAGGAAAAGGGGTCCTGCAACCCTCGCGAAAGTTAAGCAAGATTTGTCCCCTCCCCCCACCCCTGCCACCCAGTTGCAATGTTCGGCGGCACGCGCGGCGCGGCCTGTGGGCGCCGACGACAGACATGAAGTCATTTGTCGCGGCGTCACCCTTGAAACATGGGGATTGGGGGGCGCACACACTGCGCGGGCAAAACTTGCTTTTGAGTTTCATCAGCAGCAGCGGCAGCAGCAGCTTCTTCATCTTCATCATTCTCATCATCACCATCGTCATTATCGACGTGGTTGCCGCCAGACGGACGTATAGGTACGCAGGCCACGTGGCTCGACAGATGGAGTACGACCCATGTCGTTTAACTTCGCAGGTGCTGCAGTGGAACTGTCAGCGCGTTGCTCGTCAGGTGAACCGTGATTGGATGGAAGTGGCAAAAAAAAAGCCCAAAAGAGGCCTCTGAGGGTCCCAAAAGATTCTCAAGAAAGCCCCAAGACGGCCCAAGCCCCCCAAGACGGCCCAAGAGAGCCCCAGGACGGCCGAAGAGGGCCCCAAGATTGCCCAAAAGAGATCCAAAGGACCCCCAGAAAGGCCCAGAAATGCAACTTCATTACTTTTCGCATTGTTTGTTGTTCGATTTTTGTATGTAGTGCCAAAGCCTTAACACCAGCAGGGCTCGAAGACACTGAGTCGATGTACACGACGAAGGCCACGCCGGCCTCGGCGGCCGCCTGCATCATGTACAGGACGGCCTCACGCTCTGCACAGCCTGACGTGGCGTCCGGGATGGACACGTCGCCTGCGACGGTCACGACGCCAGCAGGCGTATTGACCGCGATGGCCCACGCCCCCCACGCGCGGCGCCTTGCGGCGACATCCTGCGGCGTCCTACGGTGCCACGCGGCGTCCCAGGGTCGGGAGTAAGAAAAGGGGGGACCCAGCTTCAAGCTACCCCCCTCCCTTTGAAAAGGGAGGCTTCCGAAGCTACCCCTCCTCCCCACCCCCTGGGTCGGCATTTTGTAGCCGGGGGGGGCCCTCGCTGAAGTGGGAGGATGGAAGGTACCCCCCCCCCCCTCCCCCACTTTTGCGGGCACGAGGTAAGCCTGGGCTCCCCTTTTTCAAGGAGACAGGGGCGGGGGGGGGCAAGCCTGGGCTCACCTTTCCAGTAGGGTTCCGACGCTACCCCCCCGCTCTCTAGTGAAAAGAAGAGGAGACTTCGGAAGCCCCCCCCTTCCCCTTTTCGGTGTCGGGCCTTTCAATGGGGGGGGGGTCCGAAGTTACCCTCCTCCGTTCTGTGTGATAGAGGGGTATATTGCAAGGGGAGGGAAGGGCTTCGGAAGCCCTTCAGCGCTTGTGTTTTTGGAGCTTCTTGTGTTGTCGGTCCTCCTTTGGCCTTCGGCGCCTTTTGGTTTCTGGCGCCCCGCTGGTTTTCGGAGCTCTGTTGGTTGTCGGTGCCCTTTTGGTTTTCGGCATCCTTTTGGTTTTCGGCTTGCTTTTGGTATTCGGCGCCCTTTTAGTTTTCGGCGCCATTCGGTTGTCGGTGCTCTTTGATTTTCGGCGCCCCTTTGGTTTTCGGCGCCCGCCATTTCGGTTGTCGGCGCCCCTTTAGTTTTCGGCGCCCTTTTTGGTTTTCGGGGCCCTGTTGGTTTTCGGCGACCTCTTGGTGTTCGGCGCCTTTTGGTGTTCGGCGCTCCGTTGGTTTTCGGTGCCCTTTTGGTTTTCGGCGCCCTTGTGGTGTGTTTTGGCTCTCCTGTGTTCTTCGGCTCCCTGAGAGGTTTCGTCGGTCCTTATGGTTTTCGGCGCATCGCTGGTTTCGGAGCCCTTTTGGTATTTGGCGCCCCTTTGGTTTTCGTCTCTCTTGTGGTTTTCGACGCCCCTTCGGGTTTCGGAGTTCCTTTGTTTTCAGCGTTTTTTAGTTTTTAGCGGCCTATTGGTTTCGGTGACCGTTTGGCTTTCGGCGTTCTTCTGGTTTTCGGGGCCCCTGTAGTTTTAGGTGCCCTTTCGGTGTTCGGCGCCTCTTTGGTTTTCGGCACCCCTTTGGTCATTTTTGGTGTTCGGCGACTCTTTTGTTTTCGGCACCTCTTTGGTTTTCGGCGCCCCTGCGATTTTCGGCGCCCTGTTGGCTTTCGGCGCCCTTTTGGCTTTCGGCGCCCGGCTGGTTTTCGGCGCTCTTTTTATTGTCGGCGCCCTCTTGGTTTTCGGCGCTTTTTTGGTTTTCAGCTCCTTTGGTTTTCGGCCCCTTCTTGGTTTTCGGCTCCCCTTCGGTTTTCGGCGCCTTTTTGGTTTTGGGCGCCTCTTTGGTCTCCGGTGCCCTTTGGTTTTTGGCGCCCTCTCGGTTTCTGGTGGCCTTTTGGTTTTCGGCGCTCTCTCGGTTTTCGGCGCTCTTTTTGTTTCCAGTGCGATTTCATTCTGGCCAGAAAGGGGGGAGAGGGGGGAGGGCACCCAAGCTCTCCCCCCCTTTAGCCAAGGAGGGGGTCCGGCAGGGGGGGGGGAGCCAAAGGCGGGGTGTAGCTAAGCTCACCTTCCCATTTCGCAAAGGGGGGGTAAGGGGGGGGGGGAGCTCCCGGAGCGCGAAAGGGGGGAGAGGGGGAGGGGCAGCTTCGGAGGGGTGGAACAAAGGGGGGGAGGAGGGGAGGGGTTCAAAGAGGGGGGAGGTGGTAGCTAAGCTCCCCCCCCTTTCGGAAAAGGGGGAAGGGGGAGGGTAGCTTCCGGAGCGCGAGAGGGAGGGCGAGGGATGGGAAAAAAGGGGGAGGGTGGGGGGGGTCGGACAGGAGAGGTCCAAAGATGGGGGTGGTTAGCTAACCCCCCGAACCTTCCGGAGTGCGGAAGGAGGGGAGGGGGAGGGAGAGCTTCCGAGCAGAACAAAAAGGTTTGGGCTTCGGGCAGGGGAGGTCCAAAGGGAGGGGGGGAGCGCAGGGCCCCCGCCCACCCCACCTTGCTCGGGTCCTGCATGGCCGCTCTCTCTCTCTCTCTCTTACGTATGTGCCTATATCTTGCCCCTCTCCTGTGGCTCCATCCCTATGTGTTTTAGACATGTGCCTATAGACTGCCTCTCTCTTGTGGCTTGAGCTGTATGTGTGTTGCATATGCACCTATAGATGTTATAGATCCCCCTGTCGTGTGGCTCGAATCCTGCGTATGTTTACTTACGTGCCTACGGATTGCCCCTCACATGTGGCTCGAATCCAATATGTCTTACGTATGTGTCTATGGATTGTCCTTCTTGTGGCTCGAATCCCAGGTGTGTTTTACGTATGTGCCTATATATTGCCCCTCCCCTGTGGCTCGAATCCTATGTGTTTTACGTCGGTGCCTGTAGATTTCCCTTCTCACGGAGTGTTCTAGCTCAACATACCAACTGTCCTGGGCCCAGAAAAAGTGTGACAGGGCCATCGGTTTCTCTCCATTCCAGCTGCCAGGAGTGGGGTCGTTCGATTGCTAATGCTGTCCCGAGCGCATACACGTCACCGTGTCGATATCACGAACGCCACCATCATCAGCAAGTCCAACTGCGCAATTGTCTCATCGATATGATAAGGTAGTTCTCGCAAGCCGACGTGTCATGCGTCCATCCGCCTCCACACCTTAGCTGTTTTTCGGGTGCTTTGCTTGGATGATATGCTGCGTTCTTGGTTCTGGGTGCCTCAGGGGACCTTTGGGAGTTTCTTGAGACCTCCAAAGGCCTCCGTGGATTTCCACCCCCTCGCATGATCCTGTCCTTCATCTCCTCTGACGGCCTTCCTCTGACGACCGTCCTTCATCGTTCCCGTCTGCCGCTCTCCTGCGAGGTTGTTTTTGACGCGACCAAGCAGCTGGCCATCGAGGCCCGGCTGGGCCTCGCAGCGGGCAGGAAGGTTCGAAGCGAGGAGGAGGAGGCGGAGGAGGAGAAGGAGGAAGAGCTGCGTGGCCCTCAGGGAAGAAACACATAGATGAACATACTACTCAGAAGCCGGGCGAAGGCTGGCAAACCCGTGGCTGCAAAAACGGAGCTCCGTTTTTTTTTGTTGTTCCTCCGGGAAGCAGCCTGGTTATTACCTAGTGCACCGAGCTTTATTCCGGGAATTTGTTCTTTTTCTGCTGGGAAGACCGTTTTAGCAGACACGGATTTGCCAGCCCTCGCCCAGCTTCCGAATTACATAACCACATATTCTCTGAGCTTCGCGCGGATTTCTTGCATCGGCTCTGGGGTTCCCCTGGCGGCGCCTCCGGGGTCGCCCTTGGCGCGCCGAGCGCGCCATGGAGGAGTCCAGCACCGATCCAAGAAATCCGTGCGGACCTCCCAAGAAATATGTGTGTGCCGGTTGTGATGTGTCTTCTAGTAGATCGGCCATGTTTTTCTCCCCCTTGCCCCTACGTTCTCAAGTGACGATATTCTTATCGTGGGGCACGTTTCGTGGACGGCCCTGCCGCATATATATATATATATATATATATATATATATATATATATTATATATATCGGCATGAAAACCGATTGGCTTACGCCGCACCGCCGACCTCTGGACCCCATGTATGCCGAATTCATAGTTGATCATAGGAAGTCGACGCATGCGTTGCTACTCGTATCCTCTTCCTCCCTCTGCTCCTTTTCCTCTCCTCCCCCTTCTTTCCCCTCCACCGCTGTGAACTCCAATATGTTTCGATTTCATTCGCTCCTTTCCCACCTCATCCATCTTCGATCGCAATCGTCCATGATACGAGAACGCCGCCCAGAAGACAGGCATCTTGGGTCCCCAGAGCGTCAAGAACTGTGGTCGTCGCGCCTGCGACGGGCCTCGTCTCTCGTAGGGTCCTCGATCTTTCTCTCCTCTTCCTCCTTCTCCTCCTCCTCCTCCTCCTCCTCCTCCTCCTCTCTCGTCTCTCGTAGGGTCCTCGATCTTTCTCCTCCTCCTCCTCCTTCTCCTCCTCCCTGTCTCCCCAATCCGTGCTCCCACCGAGCGGCGATCGCCAATCGTCGATCCTACGACAACGCCGCCCAGATGAGAGGCGCCCAAGGCTCTCCGACGCTCGCGAGGGGCCTCGCGCCTCTCGACCGCCTCCCTCTCGTGGAGGCATTTCGAGGCCGCTTGGGGGCCGGTTGGAAGCCTCCAGAGGGCTAGTTGGGGCCTTTTGGGGACCTCTCGAGGCCCTCCTGTCGAGCAGTGGCGAAGCGTCCTGGCTTGCTTTCAGGCCCATTCAGGCCCATCAAAGAATGTTCGAATAACTTGTTGTGGTCTGCATGCAATGTTCTTAGAGTATGTCTGGCCGAGGCT